TTGCAATTGGGGGCTCATACTTCCTTCAATATGAGGTTGTTGGTCACGTAGTTGCAATGTGGTTGGGCTCATACTTCCTTCAATATGAGGTTGTTGGTCACGTAGTTGTAATGTGGTTGGGTCTCCAATGTGGTTGGGCTTCCTTCAATATGAGGTTGTTGGTCTCGTAGTTGCAATGTGGTTGGGCTCATACTTCCTTCAATATGAGGTTGTTGGTCAGGTTGTTGGGCTCATACTTCCTTCAATATGAGGTTGTTGGTCACGTAGTTGCAATGTGGTTGGGCTCATACTTCTTCAATGTGAGGTTGTTGGTCTCGTAGTTGCAAGGTTGGGCTCATACTTTCAATATGAGGTTGTTGGTCATGTAGTTGCAATGTGGTTGGGCTCATACTTTCCTTCAATATGAGGTTGTTGGTCACGTTAGTTAAATCACTTTCCTTCAATGTGGTTGTTGGTCTCGTAGTTGCATACTTCCTTCAATATGAGGTTGTTGGTCACGTAGTTGCAATGTGGTTGGGCTCATATTTCCTTCAATATGAGGTTGTTGGTCACCTAGTTGCAATATGGTTGGGCTCATGCTTCCTTCAATATGATGTTGTTGGTCACGTAGTTGCAATGTGGTTGGGCTCATACTTCCTTCAATATGAGGTTGTTGGTCACGTAGTTGCAATGTGGTTGGGCTCATACTTCCTTCAATATGAGGTTGTTGGTCACGTAGTTGCAATGTGGTTGGGCTCATACTTCCTTCAATATGAGGTTGTTGGTCACGTAGTTGCAATATGGTTGGGCTCATACTTTCCTTCAGTATGAGGTTGTTGGTCACGTAGTTGCAATGTGGTTGGGCTCATACTTCCTTCAATATGAGGTTGTTGGTCACGTATTTGCAATGTGGTTGGCATACTTCCTTCAATATGAGGTTGTTGGTCACGTAGTTGCAATGTGGTTGGGGCTCATACTTCCTTCAATATGAGGTTGTTGGTCACGTAGTTGCAATGTGTTGGTCTCATACTTCCTTCAATATGAGGTTGTTGGTCACGTAGTTGCAATGTGGTTGAGCTCATACGTCCTTCAATATGAGGTTGTTGGTCACGTAGTTGCAATGTGGTTGGGCTCATACTTCCTTCAATATGAGGTTGTTGGTCACGAACGTAAATTGGGCTCATACTTCCTTCAATAAGGTTGTTTGTCACGGTTTGCAATGTGGTTGGGCTCATACTTCCTTCAATATGAGGTTGTTGGTCACGTAGTTGCAATGTGGTTGGCGCATACTTCCTTCAATATGGGGTTGTTGGTCCATCAATATGATGTTGTTGGTAGTTGCAATGTGGTTGAGCGCATATTTCCTTCAATATGAGGTTGTTGGTCACGTAGTTGTAGTTGCTCATACTTCCTTCAAATGTGGTTGGGCTCATACTTCCCTTCAATATGAGGTTGTTGGTCACGTAGTTGCAATGTGGTTGGGCTCATACTTTCCTTCAATATGAGGTTGTTGGTCACGTAGTTGCAATGTGGGTTTGGTTGCTCATATTCCTTCAATATGAGGTTGTTGGTCACGTAGTTGCAATGTGGTTGAGCTCATATTTCCTTCAATATGAGGTTGTTGGTCACGTAGTTGCAATGTGGTTGGGCTCATACTTCCCCTTCAATATGAGGTTGTTGGTCACGTAGTTGCAATGTGGTTGGGCTCATACTTCCTTCAAATATGAGGTTGTTGGTCACGTAGTTGCAATGTGGTTGGGCTCATACTTCCTTCAATATGAGGTTGTTGGTCACGGTTGTAAATGGTTGGGCTCATACTTCCTTCAATATGAGGTTGTTGTTGGTCTTCAATATGAGGTTGTTGGTCACGTAGTTGCAATGTGGTTGGGCTCATATTTCCTTCAATATGAGGTTGTTGGTCACGTAGTTGCAATATGGTTGGGCTCATACTTCCTTCAATATGAGGTTGTTGGTCACGTATTTGCAATTTGGTTGGGCTCATACTTCCCTTCAATATGTGGTTGTTGGTGCAATGTGTTGTTGGGCTCATACTTCCTTCAATATGAGGTTGTTGGTCACGTAGTTGCAATGTGGTTGGTTTCATACTTCCTTCAATATGAGGTTGTTGGTCACGTATTTGCAATGTGGTTGGGCTCATACTTCCTTCAATATGAGGTTGTTGGTCACGTAGTTGCAATGGTTGGGCTCATACTTTCCTTCAATATGAGGTTGTTGGTCACGTTGTTGCAATGTGGTTGGGCTCATTTCCTTCAATATGAGGTTGTTGGTCACGTAGTTGCAATGTGGTTGGGCTCATACTTCCTTCAATATGAGGTTGTTGGTCACGTAGTTGCAATGTGGTTGGGCTCATACTTCCTTCAATATGAGGTTGTTGGTCACGTAGTTGCAATGTGGTTGGGCTCATACTTCCTTCAATATGAGGGTTGTTGGTCACGTAGTTGCAATGTGGTTGGGCTCATACTTCCTTCAATATGAGGTTGTTGGTCACGTAGTTGCAATGTGGTTGGGCTCATACTTTCCTTCAATATGAGGTTGTTGGTCACGTAGTTGCAATGTGGTTGGGCTCATACTTCCTTCAATATGAGGTTGTTGGTCACGTAGTTGTAATGTGGTTGGGCTCATACTTCCTTCAATATGAGGTTGTTGGTCACGTAGTTGGTTGGCTCATACTTCCTTCAATATGAGGTTGTTGGTCACGTAGTTGCAATATGGTTGGGCTCATATTTCCTTCAATATGAGGTTGTTGGTCACGTAGTTGCAATGTGGTTGGGCTCATACTTCCTTCAATATGAGGTTGTTGGTCACGTAGTTGCAATGTGGTTGGGCTCATACTTTCCTTCAATATGAGGTTGTTGGTCACGTAGTTGCAATGTGGTTGGGCTCATACTTCCTTCAATATGAGGTTGTTGGTCACGTAGTTTTGCAATGTGGTTGGGCTCATACTTCCTTCAATATGAGGTTGTTGGTCACGTAGGTTGTTGGTTGCAATGTGGTTGGGCTTATACTTCCCTTCAATATGAGGTTGTTGGTCACGTTGCAAGTTGCTCATACTTCCCTTCAATATGAGGTTGTTGGTCACGTGGTTGGGCTCATACTTCCTTCAATATGAGGTTGTTGGTCACGTAGTTGCAATGTGGTTGGGCTCATACTTCCTTCAATATGAGGTTGTTGGTCACGTAGTTGCAATGTGGTTGAGCTCATACTTCCTTCAATATGAGTTGTTGGTTGTAGTTGCAACATACTTCCCTTCAATATGACGTTGTTGGTCACGTAGTTGCAATGTGGTTGGGCTCATACTTCCTTCAATATGAGTTTGTTGGTCACGTAGTTGCAATGTGGTTGGGCTCATACTTCCTTCAATATGAGGTTGTTGGTCACGTAGTTGCAATGTGGTTGGGCCCATACTTCTTTCAATATGAGGTTGTTGGTCACGTAGTTGCAATGTGGTTGAGGTTGCTCAATGTGGTTGGGCTCATACTTCCTTCAATATGAGGTTGTTGGTCACGTAGTTGCAATGTGGTTGGGCTCATACTTCCTTCAATATGAGGTTGTTGGTCACGTAGTCACAATATGGTTGGGCTCGTACTTCCTCAATATGAGGTTGTTGTGTTGCAATGTGGGCTCATACTTCCTTCAATATGAGGTTTGTTGGTCACGTAGTTGCAATGTGGTTGGGCTCATCTTTCCTTCAATATGAGGTTGTTGGTCAATATGCAGGTGGTTGGCTCATACTTCCTTCAATATGAGGTTGTTTGTCAATGCAATGTGGTTGGGCTCATACTTCCTTCAATATGAGGTTGTTGGTCACGTAGTTGCAATGTTGCAACTTCCTTGTGAGTTTGTTGGTCACGTAGTTGCAATGTGGTTGGGCTCTTCCTTCAATATGAGGTTGTTGGTCACATAGTTGCAATGTGGTTGGGTTCATACTTCCTTCAATATGAGTTTGTTGGTCACGTAGTTGCAATGTGGTTGGGCTCATACTTCCTTCAATATGAGGTTGTTGGTCACGTAGTTGCAATGTGGTTGGGCTCATACTTCCTTCAATATGAGGTTGTTGGTCACGTGGTTGCAATATGGTTAGGCTCCTACTTCCTTCAATATGAGGTTGTTGGTCACGTAGTTGCAATGTGGCTCATACTTCCTTCAATTGAGGTTTTTGGTCACGTAGTTGCAATATGTTCCTTCAATTTCCTTCAATATGAGGTTGTTGGTCACGTAGTTGCAATGTGGTTGCAATGTGGTTGGGTTCATACTTCCTTCAATATGAGGTTGTTGGTCACGTAGTTGCAATGTGGTTGGGCTCATACTTCCTTCAATATGAGGTTGTTGGTCACGTAGTTGCAATGTGGTTGCATACTTCCTTCAATATGAGTTTGTTGGTCACGTATTTGCAATGTGGTTGGGCTCATACTTCCTTCAATATGAGGTTGTTGGTCACGTAGTTGCAATGTGGTTATTCCTTCAATATGGTTGTTGGTCGTATTAGTTCATACCTACTTCAATAAGAGGTTGTTGGTCACGTAGTTGCAATGTGGTTGGTCTCGTACTTCCTTCAATTTGAGATTGTTGGTCACGTAGTTGCAATGTGGTTGGGCTCATACTTCCTTCAATATGAGGTTGTTGGTCACGTAGTTGCAATGTGGTTGGGCTCATACCTTCCTTCAATATGAGGTTGTTGGTCACGTAGTTGCAATGTGGTTGGGCTCATACTTCCTTCAATATGGGGTTGTTGGTCACGTTGCAATGTGGTTGGGCGCATATTTCCTTCAATATGAGGTTGTTGGTCACGTAGTTGCAATGTGGTTGGGCTCATACTTCCTTCAATATGAGGTTGTTGGTCACGTAGTTGCAATGTGGTTGTTGGCTCATACTTCCTTCAATATGAGGTTGTTGGTCACGTAGTTGCAATGTGGTTGGGCTCATATTCCTTCAATATGAGGTTGTTGGTCACGTAGTTGCAATGTGGTTGGCTCATACTTTCCTCATATGGTTGTTTCACTTCAATATCTCATATTTTCTTGAGGTTGTTGGTCACGTAGTTGCAATGTGGTTGGGCTCATACTTCCTTCAATATGAGGTTGTTGGTCACGTAGTTGCAATGTGGTTGGGCTCATACTTCCTTCAATATGAGGTTGTTGGTCACGTAGTTGCAATGTGGTTGGGCTCATACTTCCCTCAATATGAGGTTGTTGGTCACGTGGTTGCAATATGGTTGGGCTCATAATTCCTTCAATATGAGGTTGTTGGTCACGTAGTTGCAATGTGGTTGGGCTCAGTTTGTTGGTACTTCCTTCAATATGAGGTTGTTGGTCACGTAGTTGCAATGTGGTTGGGCTCATACTTCCTTCAATATGAGGTTGTTGGTCACGTAGTTGCAATGTGGTTGGGCTCATACTTCCTTCAATATGAGGTTGTTGGTCACGTAGTTGCAATGTGGTTGGGCTCATACTTCCTTCAATATGAGGTTGTTGGTCACGTAGTTGCAATGTGGTTGGGCTCGTACTTCCTTCAATATGAGATTGTTGGTCACGTAGTTGCAATGTGGTTGGGCTCATACTTTCCTTCAATATGAGGTTGTTGGTCACGTAGTTGCAATGTGGTTGGGCTCATACTTCCTTCAATATGAGGTTGTTGGTCACGTAGTTGCAATGTGGTTGGGCTCATACTTCCTTCAATATGAGGTTGTTGGTCACGTAGTTGCAATGTGGTTGGGCTCATATTTCCTTCAATATGAGGTTGTTGGTCACGTAGTTGCAATGTGGTTGGGCTCATACTTCCTTCAATATGAGTTGTTGGTCACGTAGTTGCAATGTGGTTGGGCTCATACTTTCCTTCAATATGAGGTTGTTGGTCACGTAGTTGCAATGTGGTTGGGCTCATACTTCCTTCAATATGAGGTTGTTGGTCACGTAGTTGCAATGTGGTTGGGCTCGTATACTTTCCTTCAATATGAGGTTGTTGGTCACGTAGTTGCAATGTGGTTGGGCTCATACTTCCTTCAATATGAGGTTGTTGGTCACGTAGTTGCAATGTGGTTGGTAGAGCGCATACTTCCTTCAATATGAGGTTGTTGGTCACGTAGTTGCAATGTGGTTGGGTTCATACTTCCTTCAATATGAGGTTGTTGGTCACGTAGTTGCAATGTGGTTGGGCTCATATTTCCTTCAATATGAGGTTGTTGGGGTAGTTGCAATGTGGTTGGGCTCATACTTCCTTCAATATGAGGTTGTTGGTCACGTAGTTGCAATGTGGTTGGGCTCATACTTCCTTCAATATGAGGTTGTTGGTCACGTAGTTGCAATGTGGTTCATACTTCCTTCAATATGAGGTTGTTGGTCACGTAGTTGCAATGTGTTGGGCTCATACTTCCTTCAATATGAGGTTGTTGGTCACGTAGTTGCAATATGGTTGGGCTCATACTTCCTTCAATATGAGGTTGTTGGTCACGTAGTTGCAATGTGGTTGGGCTCATACTTCCTTCAATATGAGGTTGTTGGTCACGTAGTTGCAATGTGGTTGGGTTGTTGGTCACGTAGTTGCAATGTGGTTGGGGCTCATACTTCCTTCAATATGAGGTTGTTGGTCACGTAGTTGCAATGTGTTGTTGGGCTCAATATTTCCTTCAATATGAGGTTGTTGGTCACGTAGTTGCAATGTTGCAATGTGGTTGTTGGCGTTGCAATGTGGTTGGGCTTCCCTTCTTCAATATGAGGTTGTTGGTCACGTATTTGCAATGTGGTTGGGCTCATACTTCCTTCAATATGAGGTTGTTGGTCACGTATTTGCGATGTGGTTGGGCTCATACTTCCCTCAATATGAGGTTGTTGGTCACGTAGTTGCAATGTGGTTGGCTCATATTCCTTCAATATGAGGTTGTTTGGGCAATGTGGTTGGGCTCATACTTCCTTCAATATGAGGTTGTTGGTCACACGTTGTAAATGTGGTTGCTCATACTTCCTTCAATGTGGTTGGGTTGCATACTTCCTTCAATATGAGGTTGTTGGTCACGTAGGGGTTGTTTGCAATGTGGTTGGGCTCATACTTCCCTCAATATGAGGTTGTTGGTCACGTAGTTGCAATGTGGTTGGGCTCATACTTCCTTCAATATGAGGTTGTTGGTCACGTAGTTGCAATGTGGTTGGGCTCATACTTCCTTCAATATGAGGTTGTTGGTCACGTAGTTGCAATGTGGTTGGGCTCATACTTCCTTCAATATGAGGTTGTTGGTCACGTAGTTGCAATGTGGTTGGGCTCATACTTCCTTCAATAATGAGGTTGTTGGTCACGTAGTTGCAATGTGGTTCATACTTCCTTCAATATGAGGTTGTTGGTCACGTAGTTGCAAATGTGGTTGGGCTCATACTTTCCTTCAATATGAGGTTGTTGGTCACGTAGTTGCAATGTGGTTGGGCGCATACTTCCTTCAATATGAGGTTGTTGGTCACATGGTTGCAATGTGTTGGGCTCATACTTCCTTCAATATGAGGTTGTTGGTCACGTAGTTGCAATGTGGTTGGGCTCATACTTCCTTCAATATGAGGTTGTTGGTCACGTAGTTGCAATGTGGTTGGGCTCATACTTCCAACATGTTTTCAATATGAGGTTGTTGGTCACGTAGTTGCAATGTGGTTGGGCTCATATTTCCTTCAATATGAGGTTGTTCCTTCAATCATACTTCCTTCAATATGAGGTTGTTGGTCACGTAGTTGCAATGTGGTTGGGCTCATACTTCCTTCAATATGAGGTTGTTGGTCACGTAGTTGCAATGTGGTTGGGCTCATACTTCCTTCAATATGAGGTTGTTGGTCACGTAGTTGCAATGTGGTTGGGCGCATACTTCCTTCAATATGAGGTTGTTGGTCACGTAGTTGCAATGTGGTTGGGCTCATACTTCCTTCAATCGTTGTTGATGTGGTTGTTACTTCCTTCAATATGAGGTTGTTGGTCAATATAGTTGGTGGTTGCCATACTTCCTTCAATGTGAGGTTGTTGGTCACGTAGTTGCAATGTGGTTGGGCTCATACTTCCTTCAATGTGAGGTTGTTGGTCTCGTAGTTGCAATGTGGTTGGGCTCATACTTCCTTCAATATGAGGTTGTTTGTCACGTAGTTGCAATGTGGTTGAGCGCATACGTCCTTTAATATGAGGTTGTTGGTCACGTAGTTGCAATGTGGTTGGGCTCATACTTCCTTCAATATGAGGTTGTTGGTCTCGTAGTTGCTATGTGGTTGGGCTCATACTTCCTTCAATATGATGTTGTTGGTCACGTAGTTGCAATGTGGTTGGGCTCATATTTCCTTCAATATGAGATTGTTGGTCACGTAGTTGCAATATGGTTGGGCTCATACTTCCTTCAATATGAGGTTGTTGGTCACGTAATTGCACTGTGGTTGGGCGCATACGTCCTTCAATATGAGTTTGTTGGTCACGTAGTTGCAATGTGGTTGGCGCATACTTCCTTCAATATGAGGTTGTTGGTCACGTATTTGCAATGTGGTTGGGCTCATACTTCCTTCAATATGAGGTTGTTGTTGGTTCAATGTGGTTGGGCTCATACTTCCTTCAATATGAGTTTGTAGGTCACGTAGTTGCAATATGGTTGGGCTCATACTTCCTTCAATATGAGGTTGTTGGTCACGTAGTTGCAATGTGGTTGGGCTCATATTTCCTTCAATATGAGGTTGTTGGTCACGTAGTTGCAATGTGGTTGGGCTCATATTTTCTTCAATATGAGGTTGTTGGTCACGTATTTGCAATGTGGTTGGTTCATACTTCCTTCAATATGAGGTTGTTGGTCACGTAGTTGCAATGTGGTTGGGCTCATACTTCCTTCAATATAGTTACCAATTTGTTGGCTCACGTGTTCAATATGTGGTTGTTGGTCTTGGTCCGTAGTTGCAATATGGTTGGGCTCCATTCGTCCTTCAATATGAGTTGTTGTTGGTCACGCATGGTTGCAATGTGGTTGGGCTCATACTTCCTTCAATATGAGGTTGTTGGTCACGTATTTGCAATGTGGTTGGGCTCATACTTCCTTCAATATGACGTTGGTCACGTAGTTGCAATGTGGTTGGGCTCATACTTCCTTCAATATGAGGTTGTTGGTCACGTAGTTGCAATATGGTTGGGCTCATACTTCCCTCAATATGAGGTTGTTTTCACGTAGTTGCAATATGAGGTTGTTGGTCACGTAGTTGCAATGTGGTTGGGCTTCATAGTTGCTATGTGGTTTCCTTCAATATGAGGTTGTTGGTGGTTCAATGTGGTTAGTTGAGGTTGTTGGTCACGTAGTTGCAATGTGGTTGGGCTCATACTTCCTTCAATATGAGGTTGTTGGTCACGTAGTTGCAATGTGGTTGGGCTCATACTTCCTTCAATATGAGGTTGTTGGTCATGTAGTTGCAATGTGGTTGGCGCATACTTTCCTTCAATATGGAGGTTGTTGGCTCACTTCCTTCAATATAGGTTGTTGCAATGTGGTTGGGCTCATACTTCCTTCAATATGAGGTTGTTGGTCACGTAATTTGCAAGTTGCAAATATGGGTTGTTGAGCGGGTTCATATTTCCTTCAATATGAGGTTGTTGGTCACGTAGTTGCAATGTGGTTGGGCTCATACTTCCCTTCAATATGAGGTTGTTGGTCACGTAGTTGCAATATGGTTGGGCTCATACTTCCTTCAATATGAGGTTGTTGGTCACGTAATTGCAATGTGGTTGGGCTCATAATTCCTTCAATAAGGTTGTTGGTCACGTAGTTGCAATGTGGTTGGGCTCATACTTCCTTCAATATGAGGTTGTTGGTCACGTAGTTTGCAATGTGGTTTCATACTTCCTTCAATATGAGGTTGTTTCACGGGCAATGTGGTTGGGCTCATCCCCTTCAATATGAGGTTGTTGGTCACGTAGTTGCAATGTGGTTGGGCTCATACTTCCTTCAATATGAGGTTGTTGGTCACGTAGTTGCAATGTGGTTGGGCTCATACTTCCTTCAATATGAGGTTGTTGGTCACGTAGTTGCAATATTCCTTCAATATGGTTGTTGGCTCATACTTCCTTCAATATGAGGTTGGTCACGTAGTTGCAATGTGGTTGGGCCTATACTTCCTTCAATAATGTTGTTGGTCTCCTAGTTGCAATGTGGTTGGCCCTTCAATATGAGGTTGTTGGTCACGTAGTTGCAATGTGGTTGGGCTCATACTTCCTTCAATATGAGTTGTTGGTTGTTCATTTAGTTTCAAGATTGTTGGTGGTTGGGCTCATACTTCCTTCAATATGAGGTTGTTGGTCATTTAGTTGCAATGTGGTTGGGCTTCAATATGAGGTTGTTTCCTTGGGCTCATATTTCCTTCAATATGAGGTTGTTGGTCACGTAGTTGCAATGTGGTTGGGCTCATACCTCCTTCAATATGAGGTTGTTGGTCATTTAGTTGCAATGTGGTTGGGCTCATACTTCCTTCAATATGAGGTTGTTGGTCATTTAGTTGCAATGTGGTTGGGCTCATACTTCCTTCAATGTGAGGTTGTTGGTCACGTAGTTGCAATGTGGTTGGGCTCATACCTCCTTCAATATGAGGTTGTTGGTCATTTAGTTGCAATATGGTTGGGCTCATACTTCCTTCAATATGAGGTTGTTGGTCACGTAGTTGCAATGTGGTTGGGCTCATACCTCCTTCAATATGAGGTTGTTGGTCATTTAGTTGCAATGTGGTTGGGTGGTTGGGGCTGCATATGGTTGGGCTCCTATTTCCTTCAAATAGGGTTGTTGGTCACGGTTGTTGGCTCATACGTCCTTCAATATGAGGTTGTTGGCAATGTGGTTGGGCTCATACTTCCTTCAATATGAGGTTGTTGGTCACGTAATTTGCAATGATGGTTGGCTCATACTTCCTTCAATATGAGGTTGTTGGTCACGTAGTTGCAAATTTCTTCAATATGGTTGTTGGTCATTTTAGTTGCAATGTGGTTGGGCTCATATTTCCTTCAATATGAGGTTGTTGGTCACGTAGTTGCAATGTGGTTGGGCTCATACTTCCTTCAATATGTCAGGTTGTTGGTCATTTAGTTGTTGGTCAATGTGGTTGGGCTCAACTTAAATTTTCAATATGAGGTTGTTGGTCACGTAGTTGCAATTGGGCTCATACTTCCTTCAATATGGGGTTGTTTGGGCAATGTGGTTGGGCTCATACTTCCTTCAATATGAGGTTGTTGGTCATTTAGTTGCAATGTGGTTGGGCTCATACTTCCTTCAATATGAAATAGTTGCAATGTGGTTGGCTCATACTTCCTTTGGTCACGTAGTTGCAATGTGGTTGGGCTCATACTTCCTTCAATATGAGTTGTTGGTCATTTAGTTGCAATGTGGTTGGGCTCATACTTCCTTCAATATGAGGTTGTTGGTCATTTGCAATGTGGTTGGGCTCATAATTCCTTCAATATGAGGTTGTTGGTCACGTAGTTGCAATGTGGTTGGGCTCATACTTCCTTCAATATGAGGTTGTTGGTCATTTTAGTTGCAATGTGGTTGGGCTCATACTTCCTTCAATATGAGGTTGTTGGTCACGTAATTTGCAATATGGTTGGGCATTTATTTCATATTTCCTTCAATATGAGGTTGTTGGTCAGTAGTTGCAATTGGTTCACATAGTCCTTCAATATGTGGTTGTTGGTCACGTAGTTGCAATACGTCCTTCAATATGAGGTTGTTGGTCACGTAGTTGCAATGTGGTTGGGCTCATACTTCCTTCAATATGAGGTTGTTGGTCACGTTATTTGCAATGTGGTTGGGCTCATACTTCCTTCAATATGAGGTTGTTGGTCACGTAGTTGCAATGCCCATACTACTTCAATATGGTTTGGGCTCATAATTCCTTCAATATGAGGTTGTTGGTCACGTAGTTGCAATGTGGTTGGGCTCATACTTCCTTCAATATGAGGTTGTTGGTCATTTAGTTGCAATGTGGTTGGGCTCATACTTCCTTCAATATGAGTTTGTTGGTCACGTAGTTGCAATGTGGTTGGGCTCATACTTCCTTCAATATGAGGTTGTTGGTCATTTAGTTGCAATGTGGTTGGGCACGTAGTTACAATGGTTCCTTCAATATGAGGTTGTTGGTCACGTAGTTGCAATGTGGTTGGGCTCATACTTCCTTCAATATGAGGTTGTTGGTCATTTAGTTGCAATGTTGTTTGGGCTCATACTTTTCAATATGTTGTTGGGTTGCAATGTGGTTGGGCTCATACCTCCTTCAATATGAGGTTGTTGGTCACGTAGTTGCAATATGGTTGGGCTCATACTTCCTTCAATATGAGGTTGTTGGTCACGTAGTTGCAATGTGGTTGGGCTTTTTTTCCTTCAATATGAGGTTGTTGGTCACGTAGTTGCAATGTGGTTGGGCTCATACCTCCTTCAATATGAGGTTGTTGGTCATTTAGTTTGCAATGTGGTTGGGCTCATACTTCCTTCAATATGAGGTTGTTGGTCACGTAGTTGCAATGTGGTTGGGCTCATACCTCCTTCAATATGAGGTTGTTGGTCACGTAGTTGCAATGTGGTTGGGCTCATACTTCCTTCAATATGAGGTTGTTGGTCACGTAGTTGTTGGTTCATACTTCCTTCAATATGAGGTTGTTGGTCACGTAGTTGCAATGTGGTTGGGCTCATACGTCCTTCAATATGAGGTTGTTGGTCACGTAGTTGCAATGTGGTTGGGCTCATACTTCCTTCAATATGAGGTTGTTGGTCATTTAGTTGCAATGTGGTTGGGGCTTCATGAGTTTGTTTCCTTCAATATGACTTTGTTGGTCATTTAGTTGCAATGTGGTTGGGCTCATACTTCCTTCTTCAATATGAGGTTGTTGGTCACGTTGTTTGCAATGTGGTTGGGGCTCATACTTCCTTCAATATGAGGTTGTTGGTCATTTAGTTGCAATGTGGTTGGGCTCATACTTTCCTTCAATATGAGGTTGTTGGTCACGTAGTTGCAATGTGGTTGGGCTCATACTTCCTTCAATATGGAGGTTGTTGGTCACGTAGTTGCAATGTGGTTGGGCTCATACCTCCTTCAATATGAGGTTGTTGGTCATTTTTAGTGGTTGCAATGTGGTTGGGCTCATATGTGGTTGGGCTTCCTTCAAATGATGAGGTTGTTGGTCACGTAGTTGCAATGTGGTTGGTTGGGCATTTAGTTGCAATGATGGTTGGGTTGCATATTTCCTTCAATATGAGGTTGTTGGTCACGTAGTTGCAATGTGGTTGGGCTCATATTTTCCTTCAATATGAGGTTGTTGGTCACGTAGTTGCAATGTGGTTGGGCTCATACTTCCTTCAATATGAGGTTGTTGGTCATTTATTTGGTTGCAATGATGTTGGGCTCATATGGGTTGTTGGTCACGTTCCTTCAATATGAGGTTGTTGGTCACGTAGTTGCAATGTGGTTGGGCTCATACTTCCTTCAATATGAGGTTGTTGGTCACGTAGTTGCAATGTGGTTGGGCTCATACTTCCTTCAATATGAGGTTGTTGGTCATTTTTAGTTGGGCTCATACTTCCTTCAATAAGGTTGTGGTTTATTTGCAATGTGGTTCATACTTCCTTCAATATGAGGTTGTTGGTCATTTAGTTGCAATGTGGTTGCTCATAATTCCTTCAATATGGTTTCGGCCCAATATGGTTGGGCTCATACTTCCTTCAATATGAGGTTGTTGGTCACGTAGTTGCAATGTGGTTGGGCTCATACCTCCTTCAATATGAGGTTGTTGGTCATTTAGTTGCAATGTGGTTGGGCTCATACTTCCTTCAATATGAGGTTGTTGGTCACGTAGTTGCAATGTGTTGGCTCATACTTCCTTCAATATGAGTTTGTTGTCACGTAGTAGCAATATGGTTGGGCTCATACCTCCTTCAATATGAGGTTGTTGGTCATTTAGTTGCAATATGGTTGGGCTCATACTTCCTTAATCTTCCTTCAATATGAGGTTGTTGGTCACGTAGTTGCAATGGTTATCTTCCTTCTTACAATATGGTTGGGCTCATACCTCCTTCAATATGAGGTTGTTGGTCATTTAGTTGCAATATGGTTGGGCTCATACTTCCTTCAATATGAGGTTGTTGGTCACGTAGTTGCAATGTGGTTCGGCTCATACCTCCTTCAATATGAGGTTGTTGGTCATTTAGTTGCTCAATATGGTTGGGCTCATATGGTTGGGCCTTCAATATGAGTTTGTTGGTCACGTAGTTGCAATGTGGTTGGGCTCATACCTTCCTTCAATATGAGGTTGTTGGTCATTTAGTTACGCAATATGGTTGGGCTCATACTTCTTTCAATATGAGGTTGTTGGTCACGTAGTTGCAATGTGGTTGGGCTCCTCCTTCAATATGAGGTTGTTGGTCACGTAGTTGCAATGTGGTTGGGCTCATACGTCCTTCAATATGAGGTTGTTGGTCACGTAGTTGCAATATGGTTGGGCTCATACTTCCTTCAATATGGGTTGTTGGTCACAACAATGTGGTTGGGCATACATCCTTCAGTATGAGGTTGTTGGTCACGTAGTTGCAATGTGGTTCGGCTCATATTTCCTTCAATATGAGGTTGTTGGTCACGTAGTTGCAATGTGGTTGGGCTCATACTTTCATACTTCCTTCAATATGAGGTTGTTGGTCACGTAGTTGCAATGTGTTTGGGCTCATACTTCCTTCAATATGAGGTTGTTGGTTGTTGGTCACGTAGTTGGCTCATATTTCCTTCAATATGGTTGGGCTCATACTTCCTTCAATATGAGGTTGTTGGTCACGTAGTTGCAATGTGTTTGGGCTCATACTTCCTTCAATATGGTTGGGGCTCAATATGGTTATTTCCTTCAATATGTGGTTGTTGGTCACGTAGTTGCAATATGGTTGGGCTCATACTTCCTTCAATATGAGGTTGTTGGTCACGTAGTTGCAATATGGTTGGGCTCATACTTCCTTCAATATGTTGTTGGTCACGTAGTTGCAATGTGGTTGGGCTCTTCCTTCAATATGAGTTTGTTGGTCACGTAGTTGCAATTTGGTTGGGCGCATACTTCCTTCAATAAGAGGTTGTTGGTCACGTAGTTGCAATTTGGTTGGGCGCATACTTCCTTCAATAAGAGGTTGTTGGTCTCGTAGTTGCAATTTGGTTGGGCTCATACTTCCTTTAATATGAGGTTGTTGGTCACGTAGTTGCAATTTGGTTGGGCGCATACTTCCTTCAATAAGAGGTTGTTGGTCACGTAGTTGCAATGTGGTTGGGCTCATATTTCCTTCAATATGAGGTTGTTGGTCACGTAGTTGCAATGTGGTTTGGCTCATATTTCCTTCATTATGACGTTGTTGGGCAGGTAGGTTCATATATACGAGGTTGTTGTGAATATAGTTGCATTAGTATGATGTTTTTGCGCACGTAGTTGCGTGAATATGATGTTGTTGGTCACTTCATTACATGAATATAATGTGGGACTCGTAGTTGCATGAATTGTGATATTTGTGGGCAGGCAGTTGTATGAATATGATGTTGATGTGCACATTGTTGCATTAATATAATGTTGGTGGGCATGTAGTTGCATGAATATGGTCATGTTGGCTTCCTAATTACATGAATATCATGTTGGCTTATATTTGCATGGATATGATGTCAGTAGGCCCGTAGCTACCTGACTATGATGTTGGTTCCCACGTAGTGGCATAATTATAATTTTGGTCAGCATATTTTTCCATGACTATGATGTTGCTGGCACATCATTAAATGAATATTATATTGGCGGGCGCATACTTGTTTCTATATTATTTTAATACACTCCTGGTTACATAAATTTTGTTGATGAATATATTTACTTGAATGTTATGTTTATAGTCACGAAGGTGAATGGAGTTTATGTTGACTTGGAAACATAATGTTTGCCAAAAATCATTGTAGTGTATTTCATTCACTAGAAGTTATATTACTTCTTGCTGTGTTTGGTTTTATCAACATTTATTTTTACAATATCATAAATAACTGATAACCTTCTCAATTAGTTTCGATTTTTTCTTCATATCTTTTATGTAAATTTTACATTCATAATTAACTTCTCGACTAGAATGAAATTTTCTTGCATCCATTTTTAAAGAATCTTTGCATACCTATAAAAAAATGTATGTTTATACAAAAATTACTAAAAGAAGCTATTTTGCAAGAAAACATATCTTCTTTATTTCCAGCACCAGCAAAGCTTAAATATGAATGCATGATTAATTTCGTCTATGTGTAGAAATGGAAAACATCAAGTTAGAAATTTCCATGCGATTTTTACTGAAATTTTCAACTGAATTCAAGACAGTAAATCTTGGATATATCTGTTATCACTGAGCAGAAATTGCATTTCAGATGTCAAATATTCCCATAAAATACCCCGGCAAGATTAGCAATGGATATATTTCAAAGTGTCTTATTTTTCAAAGATTTTAATTCACCTTTTGTATTATTTGTCTAACTTGTTTTTTTTTCTTTCGCTAATATTTCATGGAATATAAACACAAGATTTTTTTTCTAAATAAATATCCCTATATTTTAATTGAATTAATTGCCAACTCTATTTTTCCCGAACTGGCAAACTTAATTGATTCTTCTTTAAGAACTGGTTGCCTCTGTCAATAGCCTTAAATTTCCCTTAACTCAGGCAGCAGAAAAATATGCCATTTAATAGTAATTAAACATTACAACGTTGCGTTTCCTTCTATATATCAACAATTAATCTTGAATCTCGCACAAGCCACAAAGACACTTTCATGAAATGTTTGGAGAGGCCATCTCAATTGTTGTCTACTGTTCACAATGAAAAAGAAGCGTGAAAAGCCTTAAAGACAGTGTCTTTACTAACTTCTGTCTTGAATCCTTGATAAATATCTCCCACTGACCCTCAGTGTAGAACGCTATCAAATTGAATAGCTTAACTCATATCAAGAAAAATGATACTACAAATATGAATGATATTTTTAGCATCTTTCACTGTTCTTTCCTAGCTTCCTCTCGGTTCCTCCTTCTTTGCTTCCCCTAATGCTTGTCTCTCCTTTACTTTCTCTCTCTTCTCTCTCTCTCTCTCTCTCTCTCTCTCTCTCTCTTCCACCTACACTAATATTTTCATCTTAATATTTCTTACAGTTTTGTTATAGTTTTTTTTTTTAGTTTTTTTTTTCTTTATTTCCCATCATTTTATGCTGCTCGTTTTTTCCTTCGTTTATTCATTCGCCTTTCTATTTATTCTCCTTTTTCCGCTCGTAAATTCCGCTCCATTTTTAGGAGGAGGAGGGGGGGGGCAAATTAATATTTTCTCCTTTTTCCGTTCCTTTCATACTCCACTCCACCACCACCACCACCGTCGCCGCACCATCAATCCCACTGTTGATGTACGGTCTACAGCGTTCTCTTTACGCATATCTTACACCAGTCTTCTTTATCACAACAAATTCTCGGATATCCTTTTCTATTAAATCCCTTTTTCTCAATTCTCTCTCTTCCTTCTCACCCTACTCTTAATAATCGTCATGATCATCATCGTTCTTGCCATTTTCTTGTTCTTTCTTCGAAATATTACCTTTTTTCTATAGTCTATTCTTATTTGAAATTAATCCCTTTCAGTTTCCATTAACCAAGTCTTCTTTATGCAACCGAGAATCGGTTAAAAGGTAGTTCCTGTTCTTCTTTAATTACAATAGTTTTAATAATACAAGCACATGAAACAGAATAAAATGAATAAAAATGGGCCATAATTTTAAATCTATACCCTAATATAGTCTCCTTTCTTCTAAATCATGGCGTTCCACCATTGAATGATGAAGCATGTATACCTTCTTCGTAAATCCTTATCGGATGCTTTCTTAGCCTTGTGGCGTTTTCCCTGTTCATTTCATCCATATTGGAAAACCGTTGTCTTCTTAATACCACTTTCTTGAAAGTCTGAGGATGCTAAGTCATGGCTATATGGCGGACGATGCAAAGTTGTCCAGTTGTGCAATGCAATTGCCAAACTCTCTTTAAGCGATTGTGTGACTTTGAATTGTTGTCCAAAAAGCATATTAGCACATCTTCAAATGAATTTTGTCAATGTGCTCTTGTATGAATTGATAGCGGTGCCAATGTGCACAATATTTAACAGTATGACACCTTTCTAGTCCCACACTGCAGTGACTATCAATTCTCCTGTAAAGCTAGCTGCTTAAACATCTGGGTGATTCTGGATGATGTCACTTCATTGATCTCTGGCTTGTAGTAATGAACTCAGGTTTCATTTCCTGTGACTATCCCACTTTGGAAGGTTCTGTCTGTATTTTACAACACTAGAAGTTCTTAGGAAGCAATCACCATTTGTTCCTTCGGGGAATCTTTCAAGAATTAATTTACACAGAGTTTTGATAACCCTAGAAAATGCACTAAAATCCAACCACTCCCCGAGTTCACCTGAAAGCATTCACATAATTTTGCATTAGTTTTTCTTATATCAGCAAATACTAAGAGAATCAGCATGTATGGTTTCATCATCAGTCATAATAGTAGTTGGCCTGCTACGGAAGGGCCTGTCAATAAGGCCAGTTCTTTCCTTCTCTCTAGCATTTCCATTAACTCTACTGGCCTATATCCTTGCTGTGCTAACAGCGTGTGCAGTCTTTCCTGAAACGTCCACGTACGTAATTTGTATGTTTGCAGTACATTCTCCTTCTAAAACATAAATAAAATTACATCTCTCTTGTGCTTATGCGTGTTCAGAGAGATAGCTATTTTGAAAAAGTATTATGTGTAGAAAAATAAAGGTAATGCCAGAATTTTTCCCTTGGACTTTTAGATACTGACTGGTAAAAAAAAGAAATTCTGATTAATACATTTAAAATGAAATTAGGAAAGGGATTACCTTTTAATCGACCCTCGTGCATATTACCCCGATTTAATAATTTAGTTTAATTTAAGAAATAAAGTTGTTGTTTTAACATGTTAGCATTAAGCAATGTGCTTCACTTATGTATATTGTTCATGGGTAGATTTTGGAAACAAATGAAAAAAGAAAGAATCGTACATGTAAATGAATTCTAAAAAATGTTCATAACTCTTCCATAATCAAGAAGAGGAAACTCATAGAAATATATAGAGTTTAGAGACTGAAAGAAATCGTAGACAATTTCAAAGGCAGTTATTGAGTTTTACTCAAGATAATACTGAAGCATGTACCTCGTTTGAAAAGATGTAATTCTGGGTTGATCTAGAAACAATTATTCAGCTTGACATTACATACAGAAGCCACTGATTAAAATTACCCATTTTATATATATATATATATATATATATATATATATATATATATATATATATATATATATATATATATATATATATATATATAGGAACATACCCAGGAACATTGGGGGTATGTTGTAATCCTCATAACTAATGGGTACTATTGTAAGGGTGTAATATGCAGTCTAAGTAGTCAACCACAATCGTTTACCTACTTCACGCCGCTGGCGAATATTGTATTTTGTTTCATTTCCAACCTCCATTTTGGTTTTTTCCTCATTCAGTAATCTTTTTAGGTTACAATATATATATATATATATATATATATATATATATATATATATATATATATATATATATATATAATTAATTAATTTAATGAAGAAACAGACCACTTTTAAGGTACCATTACAATAATTTATTTCACCAAAATCCTTTTTGAATATTAGCTCTGGCTGGATTCACATTGAGTTCTCAGGATTTCATCCTCCTTGGAATTACCCATTCGGTTTACCAAGTTCTTCGTAACTAATTAAGCTATATATTCCATAAAAAGCTTTGTTAAATCAATGTTGTAATTAATTTTAAACATTTTTATCAAGTTGGAATAAAAATATTAATTAGAAATTAAGATGTGCGAAAGTAAGTGAAGCCTTACATTTACACTATGTATTTTTGTTTCACATTGTTACCGGTGAAAATACTTTTTGTGCACATGTAAATATCAAAATGACGCGTGTTCGTTTTTTTAAGCTGTGCATATTACAATCAAACAATATAACTCATTGTGCACGCAAAAGTGTGCAGTTAGAGACTAAATTTAAAAAAAAAATATATGCAAAGATCAAAAGAACTTCCTGAAGCTTTAAAAAAATGCATAGTTGAAAAACTCAAACAGACAGATGTATATCTTCTCTCCCAAGCCACAGATATGGTTTAATTAATAGGACCTCTATCAATAAATTAATTATTATTATTACCCAAAACAATTCTTACACTGTAAAAATATTTTATGGCTTTAAATAACCTGCAAAGGAGTGATAAGCCGTAAAAAACAGTTGAATGGGGATAGCTGTCAGTTTGGAAGAGCTCTTAGAAAACCACTGTTAAATTGACAGCAAATTTATAAAATCTCATCACTGTACATTTTTCTAATGTTACTTAATTGACTATATCGAATTTATTTCCCAGAGTGAAAAATTACTATTAAATACAAAACGAAATTACATAATAAATTGATTCATAGATGACAATGGGAAATAAACTAGTATTAAACATTTAAAGGTTTCTAGCAGCTTAGGCTATAAAACAGTTACTACGAGCGTAATTATGGGTATAAGATGCCATAAATTATAATAGATTATACATTAATCAATTTTTTAACTTGTGCACGACTCAGATGTATTTATGGAATTATTGTAGAATGCAATAAAATAAGTGATCGCCTAGATATAAGTTATTGTTCGATGCAATAAAATAAGTGATCGCCTAGATATATCCCTACATGGCAATCATTTATACAATTTTAATTTTTACAACATAACTATAAATTGTAAAATCCTAATTCATACTCGTAATATTAATATTACTAATCATACACAATGGAAAAATATGTATTCTACAATTTCTAATAACCTTAAAAATACAATTTAATTACTTATATATAATTTTTTACTTGGCTAATTACAGTAAATCTATTTTAGTTATAGTAAAATCAGTTCTGTGTAGATTAAAACTAAAGTGAGTATTTTATTCTGTTCGGTCAACTCTCTTAAACCAAGAAGAGCACGTCCGATTCACGTAAAACACCCTAGTCAGTAGTCCGAAATAATCCCGAGAATGTTGTCAAGCCGAGATTAAGCTCTGTAGTGATCTTGTTCCAAGTATAAAGCCACATTTCTGAACTTGGTTCTGAAATGTTTGTACTGCACTCACTTGAACGTTGATGCTTCTCAGTAACATTAGTTTCCACATTCTCAACAAATTATAGGTGAGAAAGAGTAATAGTCGCAACTGCTAATTACTAGTGACATGCCATATAAGATACCAGTACTTTCTTGATATGTTATCCCCCCAAAAAAAGCTTCAGTTTCTACCAGATAGATTTACTTTCTATTTACTTCTTGTAAAAAAAATGTACGAAGTTTTTTTTTAAGAGAGACAAACATGAACCGCACATTTATTTTTCCTAAAGTTTTGGATCAGTCTTCAACAAAGTGTCGCCACGATTTTATGTATCACAAATTACAATAAAACAAAACCTGCAACCGGGTTCTTCATCAGTACACATTTTTATTTTAATCTAAGTTTTTGAAAACATTGAAATTTTGAAAGTTTTACTTTTGTTGACAACAGTTAGGCATTTTTTTATTTGCAAGATTTCATCTATTCATGAATTTCAAAATTTCAACATATTTAAATGCTAACATTTACTAAAAAAAGTAAAAATAAATGATAATGTTTTATGATTATCTATTTAGTTTAGACTTCTACAAAACCACAGTAGAGGGGGCGGGGGGGGGCTCTGCGAGGATCAAACTCACCACACTAACGAATAAGAAAAATGCAAGAAAAACTTTCGCGCCACTGTAATTCGTAATAAATAAGCATGCTTTATAGATAAGTTCCCTATATAAGAATCTATTTTTAAGAAAACCAAATAACTTTTACTACATTTGAAGCAATTCTTTTGCTTCTTTTTGAATCTTTCGATTCAGATTTGTTTGTGAATCCTTAGTTAAGTAATGTAACTTAATCCACCTGCTTGTAGCACTTGAAATCTAATTGCTTTATCCTCTTTCTAATCAACATACATCGACAGAACAAATGCTTTATTATAATAACCATATCAAACAAGAACACTCACCGAGAAATTCATTTGATACTAATAGTTTACGATAGGAATCAATAGCTGTGACCGCGCTTCCTAATAATGGTGTCACTTTGTGAAACCAAAATTAGTTAATAATGGTCAGAGGAATATAAATGATTTTACTTTTCATCACACCTTTTCCCAGATTTTTATGGGCAATGGGTAAATGTCATCGGCCTGAATGATAATGTGTTTGTTTCAATGAATGAAAAACATGGTGAAAGAACAAAAAGAGAAAAATGTGAAAATATTGAGAAAGAAAATGTGTGTGTGTGTGTATGTGTGTGCGCGCGCGCGCGCTCTCGCGTATGTGAGTTTGTGTTTCTGTGTGCGTGTGTGTGAGAGAGAGAGAGAGAGAGAGTGTGTGTGTGTGTGTGTGTGTGTGTGTGTGTGTGTGTGTGTGTGTGTGTGTGTGTAATGTCTTCTGGAGTCTTCGATGATGATGATAGGTGTCTGCTCACCCATTCACCAAGCCAATAAAGTATGATCCATGGATCTATTCTCCCGAGAAAAGCAATTTTGTATTGAAATCAACTCTTTATGAATAAGCCATTCTGATGAATTTATCTTTCACGCTTTTCCTAAGTCGACCCATTATTTATTCCCATTTGTCGTTACTTTTCCTCTCATTTATACACTTTATTATTCACAATATATTTTTTTTCTTTAAACGAAACTCGTTTCACAGATTTTCTTAAATTTTGGGGTTTTTAGTCATATGAATTTTTCCTCTCTCTCTCTCTCTCTCTCTCTCTCCCTCCTCTCTCTCTCTCCCTCTTCTCTCTCTCTCTCTCCCTCTTCTCTCTCTCTCTCAGCAAACGGATATTTTCCGATTCTTACTTTTAAGTTTACTCCCATTATTTGCATTGTCTTTCTTTTTTCCTTTACTCAATGAACTTAACTTTCTATTTTACAGTATCGTTTGATAACACATAGATATATACTTACACACACACACACACACACACACACACACACACATATATATATATATATATATATATATATATATATATATATATATGAATGTATTTATGTACACAACTAGATGCTGAAAAGTTGTCCTCCAACCAAGAAACGGTTCTTTCCTCAGCAAAATACTGATGTTTGGTGATTCTGTTTTAGATTTTTGGAAGTAGACTGAATCGAAACTTTTCAGCACATCCTCGTATAAATATATGATATTATTTTTAAATACATGCCATGAAAACCTAGTGGCTATGCTTAAAATTCTATAATGATATATAATAGATGCAGTTGCTTCAAAGTGCTTAATACTCTACGAATCCGGTTTTTTTTTTATTTTTCCCTGACCCATAATTACAGCGACAAGAAGTCGTCGTAACTTTCATGACTTATATATTTAGCTTAAATTTGGCACAGCCCTACAAACAAGATTCATTTGGTATGAAATGAACACACTACAAAACGAGCTCGATAACCGTTTCATTACATCGGGACTCGAGTATTTCTTGAGAGTTTTTTTTTATATATATATATAACAAACAAGAATTAATGGTATTTATTTATCTCCTCTACCTTTATTTATCTCTGTAATAATCTTCTTTGTATTTCAGTATTCGACACACTATACAAGTGATTCGTCTGTGTTTTGTCGCATTAGCTTGGCAGAATTTACTTTGTTTCAGCGTGGATCAATTTTTTTAAAAATAGTTTTGCTTTGTTTTCTATTTCAGGAATAGAGTCTCCTTACATTAAGTAACAAAAACAAATCCCCAAAATTAAATGTAGAATAACTGACAAACTTTGCAGATAAAATTTGCACAAAGAAATAAAAAATTAGCATTTTGTTTAAATGTTAAAAAATTAATTTCTTTTTTTCTTTTCGTGTTGATAAGGAAAAGTATATGGATTGAAGAGTATTGAAGAGAATAGACAGTGTTCTGAAATTTACAGAAATAATTAATTCAATAAACTGCATCTTTATCAAGACAAAATATACATAATATATTGCTGTTTTTCATATATCTATATATATATCTATATAAAAAGTCACAATCTGAATAAAATATATCTAATTTTCATATTTCGGTATAGAAAAGTCAAAAACTGAATACAGCTACAGCTGAAATTCATATTTCTAAATAAAAACGTAAAAATGTGAATGTAATGCTGATTTTCAGATTTCAATATAAAAATGTCAAAATATGAATAAAATATGGCCGTTTTTCCTATCTGTATACAGAAAAGTTAAAATATGAATAAAATAGAAATGTTAACATCTGAGTAAAATATATGTTTTATCGTATTTTTATGCATATATTCATAATATCTTGGTTTTATCAAATTTCTATATAAAAAACACAAAATATATATAAAATGTTGCTGATTTTCATATTTTATACGAAATGGCAAAATATGCATGAAATATTACTTTTTAACATATTTATATATAAAAAAGACAAAATACACATAAAATATTGATTTTCTATCATATTTCTATATGAAAAAGTCCAAAAATGCATAAAATATTGCTGTTTTTCATATTTCTATATAAGAAAATGCTAAATATGCAAAACATAACTGATTTTTATATTTTTATATCAAAATGTTGAAATATGAATAAAATAGAACTATTTTCATATTTCTCTATAAAAATAGCAAAATGTTCATAAAATTCAGATATGCATAAAATATTGCTTTTTTTCATATTTATATATAAAATGGCAAAATATGCATAAATTATTTTTTATCATTTTTCGATTTGAAAAAGTTCAAATATTTATAAAAAAAAATGATTTTCATATTTCTATATAAAAAAGTAAAATATGAAAAAATGTTACCTTTTTATCATATTTCTATATAATATAAAATATTGCTGATTTATATGTAAAGTATGTGTGTGTGTAACTCCGCCGTTCCCACTGGTCCGATTTCAATGCTTCATAGCTCATTCAAAAACCCTAAAAAAGTTAGGTGAAGGGAACGATTTTCGTCGAGCTGAGATGCAGGATTGCAAGATTACGCGAGGTTAAAAATTTATATTAATGTATTATACTAGCCATTATCGTTGTTTTTATGGTTTATAGTAATTTGGTATTTACTCAACCCCACACAATGTCGCGTTGTAACACAAGGTCGGTTTAATGTGGAGAGCCCGAGCGCGTACACCCGGGCTAGGAACAAACATTCCTCGAGCACCCGAAACCGTCTGTTGCGATGGCTTCGATGCGAGCACCGATCCCTCTCTCTAGTGAGCTGTTCTCCAAAGCCGGCACCTCTCAGTATAATTTTACTCAGTTACGAATCTTTCTTTCGACGGAGCCGCCCCTGGGCGCACTCTGCCCAAAGAGAGAGACGCAACTGAGAGATGATAAATACGTGTTACACAATACTAGAGAGTAATTTGTATTTACTCAATCTTCATCCCAACCCACGAGGTCAGGTTGTAACACAAGGTCGGTTTAATGTGGGGAGCCCGAGCACGTATAGGAACAAAAATTCTATATAGTAAGTCAAAATCTAAATTAAAATATAGCTGATTTTTATATTTCAATTTTTAAAAGTTAAAATCTACATCAAGTATTGCTGATTTTCATATTTATATTTTAAAAAATATGAATAAAATATTGTTGATTTTAATATTTTTCTTTTAAAATGTCAGAATCTGTATATTTCTGAGATGAGGTATTATGTACACTATTTACAGTATTCGGACTATTGTCCTCATCTTTGTCGCCATATTACAAAGTTTCGGCTGTTGTACGTTCCGACCTTATTCAGGTGGTTAGAATGTCGACCTGAACCGAGGACACATGGCACAGTGGATAAAGGCGTTAGTTAGATCCAGTGACAGGACCCAAAGAGTGTGAGTTCAATACCCGCTTAAGGCAGTGGAGAACTTGGAAAGGGGAATTAACAGTAGATAACTGACAACTGACACCCATTAAAAAATGGCGCGTGGAACTAGAACAGTCTACCCCAGTGAGCGAAATAAAGTTTTCAGTTCGACATTCCAACCACCTGAAGAAGGCCGGAGCGTACAACGGCCGAAACGTTGTAATAAATATGGCGACAAAGATGAGGGCAGTCCGAATAATGTAAATAGTGTAAAATATCAGAATCTTACTAAAAATGTTTCCGATTTTCATAATTCTATTTAAATTCAAAATTTGGTGGGTTTAACAGCTTTAAAAATGTAACCTGAATGCGTATTCACATTGATAAAATTTTATTTACGAAACTAAATAAAATAGTAATACCCCTCCCCCAATCCTAAATTGAGGCAGGAACATCAGTTGATTAGAGTAAATTAATGTGGGACTGAATACAAAAAGAAACAACGATTCTACCAGGAACTCACTCAAACTTTGGCTCAGCCAGACACAACAACAAATACGAAACACACACTCGAAATACGAAATGCGTTCCGCATCCACTACAGAAATGACATTTCTGTAACTGGGAGAGAGGAATTAAATTAAGGATAGTAGGAACAAAAATAAACGAACCCCGATGACCATACATTCCTTAACTATGTTAACTTAAAGAGGAGAAACTAAAGAAAAAACAGTCTAATCTATTTTATTTGGGATTGGTTTGACAATGTCAAATGTTTGTCCAGAGAATCAAAATCCTATCGACTAACCGATGCTACTCCAAATCCTTTCACTCAACTACATTCACCAAATTCCAGCAAAGACAACCGTCGCCTTTCCATCCTGTTCTTGACTTTAATCATCATCTTAAAGAACAAGATCATTTGGGAATAGGTAAACTTCCCACCCATGGAGTTCCTTCTGTCGCGTCGTTCACACACAAACTTGCATAAAACCAAAGAACACGTTGCGTTCAGACTTCGTCAACGGTTGTACCACATTGGCACAGACAGATGTAACTCCGAGGTCGAAAAGATTTCCGCACAATATGCGAATAAAGTCTTCAATTAACCTGTGCAACGGACGTACGAAACGACAGATGAAGAAAGTATGCGAGATAGTTTCCTTCCACTCACTAACGAAATTGCCAGTCCCGCTGGACAAAGCTTTTTACCAACCCAGAGGGCTTTTCACAGCACCAGTCAGGTGAGTGATGTCTCATTGTTAGTGGCGTATCTCGACGAGAGCGCCCAATGCCATAGGGAGCGACCTCTTGCTTCCCTCTACTAAATAGTACCAGATATAGGAACATTTAGGACAAATCCTGAACGTTGAAGAGATCATTCGTTGCCCTTAAGAACTCCAACGCATTTCGAAAGACACAATAGGAACACTCACACCATCGGAGTAAACGGAAAGCGGTCTACTCGCACGTACATACTCCTCAGGGATAAGAAGGTTCTTACGGGCTTCGTCTTTCTAGAATCTGCTGTCACTATTAGATTGCCTACACATTCTGCCCAGGAAAACGATGCAAAGCAGGTGATGATAGGCATACCCAGACCGCCTTCTACAAATTTCACGGCATACCAAGGTAACTTGCTGACCCATAAGAGGGAGAGCAAACTTGTACTATACTAACTAGTATGGTAGACGAAAATAGAATTACGAAGAGTCGGTAAAGAAGGATGGGATAGATGTACGAAGCGCAAACTTCCGCATCCCCCTTTAAGGAAAGATTCCTCTGAGACGACAGACAGAGTGCGCACCTTCTCTCGACCAGTTCATTTCCAAGGAAAGGTTCGGGAAGAGAAACTCCGTTCTACGCGCCCAACAACAACAAGCCCAACTTATCGCGGTTGATCTTGTTCCCGTTTCGTACCTTTTTATTTCTCTGCCGGCTTCGTCAATCTCGATACTACTCGTTACAATTAGTGTCGTGTTGTCGGCATAGGCAGAGAAAATAGTCGAGGAAACGAAGTTCCTCATAGAAAAGGATTCACATTTAAGTTACGAAGGAAGAGCTTCAACGCAAGCAGATACGCGGAAAACCTTG